TTAAATTTCGAGACGCAAAAACTAAGCATTTACTATTATTAAACCGGAGAAAGTTTACTTTTTCGTTTGTAAGTGTGAAATATTGCGTAATTTTGCCGTATCAGGACGGAGTTTTTTTGCAGCAAATCTGTTTGATGTTAATTATAGTTGGCGGTGGTTTCGGCCATATTAAATCTAGCGTGACGTCATCAGCACTTTATATCTACTAGTGTGTGTGGACCAACTCCGTGACTTTCTCATTTTACAAATTTCATGTAAGTAGTTAATGTAAGTGCATTTTAATTTAAAAGTGCTCGTGCTGGCGTGACAACACTCCTAAACCACTTCTGCTGAGGGTGTCTTAGTGACCTAGTTGTAGCTTTGCAGTTATTGTAATTAATAAGTACAATTCTAGGTTCGGACTAATTGAAATATTGTAAGTGGAGTGTAGATGTGTCGTAGTAACGCGAAATGAGAGAGACTTAGGGCGAGGCGTGGAAGTAGGCAATCCTGGTAGCGGAGCTCTCTCCCGGGGCCAATATTACAGCTCAACAGAGGTCCACGCCTCTCTGCATGTCCCTGCTGTGCTGTGTCTCACTACACCACTGGGTCACCATCACGTCGCTAGTCAACTTATCCCCCTGTCCTTTTTGTCTTTGAAATTTTGATTTGTATGGATGGTCGAACGTCCTACAATATTTTTCCGTGGAATGCCGTCCAATATCAATCAATACCTACATCTCGAATCCTTGCAATCACACCGTGTTAATACCAAATAAAATTTCCTGCAGAACGACTCCATCGATATATAAGGACGGATCTCCCTCGTTCAGAAAGAGCAAAAGACCTTAATAAGGAAGCGAAGAGTGTTTCCGTAATTTTAAGTAAGTAGTTTAAGTAGTGGAAGGAGGTTCAGGATATTACGGAAGTTTCAACGTGTTAAAGTTATTTAATTCATAATTTAATACCAAGTTTTCAAGCAACGTCAGGCTATGCACTCTCCGGAATATTAGATATTCGTATTCAATAATAATAGCAGTAGTAGTAATAATTATAATAATGTTTTCCGTATAATTCCACCAAACGAACATTCTTATTTTTCAGTTGTTTGTACTTGCCAATCAATAGAAAATAATTTTTGCGTGGGTTTCAGATACTCTGCATAAATTCTCAAATAATTTTAACAATGGCGAGAATATTAACACTGATTTTACAAAACCATTGTACGAGCATTTTTCCATTTTAATAAGTGTCCTTTCCAAGGGTTTGTGCTCAATAGGCTTACTTTTTCCTCCTAAATAAATTCGATTAAAAAAGGGAAGATATCTGGCTAATATCAACATCATATGGAGTTATATCTCCTAACGACGTAAATGACAGTTGACGTGGAGGCTAGTGTGTTACTGACAAAGAGGACGGGATGAGAATCGAGATCTGCAGCTGCTTGCTTTTTTACCACACAGTTCTAATCTTAATAGATTTAAGAAGATTATTTTCAAGCCCGGGATGTGTCCATTCCCCAAAATAACGATATAACGTGCGCAATTACCAAGCTTAAGTCTAAAACTTTAAAAAGGCACTAATTAGTAATTAGATACCAAGTGTGAATTAATTTAAGACGGTTATCGACACTTCGTTAGTGGCTCCGACGCGAGGTTCAGATGCATCATAGCGCTGTCGTTTAATTTTAATATTTAATTGTGTGCAAACTTTACTGTTCTGATGTTTTCGTCTATTCAAGCTTTGACTCCAACACATAATTTAATTTTTTTTGCCACACAGAAAGTTATCAAATTAATAATAATAATCGCGACTGACTCTTGAAATTTTGTTTATTTTTGTTTCCGATAATAAAATTAGACTTTTCCATCGAAGACGAAAACCTTTGGTGTTTGTAAAATCAAAAGACCCCTAACTACGTTGAAAACTGTAAGGTCCTCCCGAAATGCTAAACGCTCGAATCTCCGACGAAGCCTATGTTGAGTTCCTTGAAAGTTTTGCAGGCAATCATAATTTATTCCGGTCACACACGTACCCTTTTTTATTTAGAATCAAGTCTTATATCTTTCACTTATATTTGTGTGTGGAACGTAAAAACGGTTTGTTGAGCCGACCTGTTTAAGCGAAACAGTTTCCCGCTAGGAATATTTAAAAATTTTTCCGAGAATATTAAGCACTAGGTTTATTTTAAAATCTGTGCATTTTTGATGAATATGCAAAAGTTTCTTCGGGGCTGGACGTTCGGCTTACTATTATGCGCTCGGAGAGTTGCTATTTCCCGAACTAGAAACACTAAATTTAATTTGTTTGAAAAAAAGACAAAAGCGTGTAACGTAATCAGAGCTTGAACAAAATAATAAAATAGAGAGAATAAGGCAATTAAAATGAGAGTCATTCCTGTTTACGACATAACAGATATAAAGATGAGATTACCGTTGGATGTAACTTTTGCAGCTGTTAAAACAATTCCATTAAATAGTTAACAAAACTCGTTTAGCTGCTGTATGGTCGTTGCTGGGTGTTTTTGTATTTAAGAGTGCAAACAAATTGGTATAACACTGTGGCGCGCTTACACATTTCCATTAAAAGGAAAATCCGGAAATAGAACGAATCATTACGCCATTAAATGAGCTTATTAGTGTTAAGATTCTTAACTTGGACAATAGAGGAGAGATGAAAGCTGGCTTATTGATAGATTTATTTGCGTCGCTTTGAATAACACTCCTCGCAATACGTTTCACAACAGTATTCCCACCATTTCAAAAGGTCTTCCCGTCATTACTCCCAAGAATACGTTATAAATTGAAAATCATATAAATTACAATTAACAAAAATTCGGTATCCAAGTGAGTTCATTTGGAACAAATTGGTGTCATAGTATTAGGCAAAAATAATACCAGTCACAGTGGGACAAAAAAAGTAACCATTTAAGCAAAAAGTGTTTTTTTAGACGGATTCATCAACCACAAGTACAGGAACGTTTTATTTTTATATTAATTTCGAGGTGATGTTGTCAAATACAAATCGACACAGACGATAGACAGACACATATACGGAAACGGGGACCTATTTTTTCGTACTCTCGGGGCCATGAAACGTCGAATGTGAAAGTAGGAGTTCGTATGGACTCTATTAACTTATTTGTATTATTTTAGGATGGTAAATTCAATACCTGCCCCTCGTAATGTATTCACATTGTAACGTTTGTGTACGACCTTCTTTTTTAGGGTGCAGCCCTTCGGAAAATATATGGCTATTGTTAGTACGATTTAAATCAGCAGCAGCCCTCAGTTGTTGTTGGAAGGGAAAATCTCCGTCAAAACTGTGAAACGTGGATCAAAGTTTAACCTTATTTGCTGAAAGGTAATTAATATTGACAAGTTTCGTTTGATGTTTCGTCCGCCTGTTCAAACGTGTCGGGCCAAGAAATGTTTTCATTAGCGTTCAAACCCGCATTTAGAACGTGTTTTAGACCTTTCAGCGCTTCAGTTCTTCTGAAAACGACTGCTCGACATATACCCACGACGCAAACATTCTTAGGGTCGTTTTGCCTACTCAGCTATGTTCAAACTTACTTGTCCTTATGAACCATAAATTTTATTAGGCCCACGAGGCCCGAATTTAATTCAGAATTAGATATTTACTGCGTTAAATGAGTTGCATAACAATTAGGCCTGCCTCTAAACATTATTCTACGTGCGGCATTATGCGTTAATTAATTTACTCAGACACTTCTTCTTTTCTTAATCTTAAACTCACTCGATTTCGAGCTAAATTTACTTGATGCGTTTCCGGTTTACCAACAAAGTGTAAACGATACACTCAGCTTCTCCTTTAGACGTATCAACTTTCAATTAAATTATTTCTACCCTGCGATTTTAAGCACTCCCTTAAACTCGGCAAAAATTCTTAAAGAAACGTAGCGATTGAACAGGAAGCATTATTGCACGTATAATGTAACCGGGGTAATATACACCACAAATACCAATTACAAATATCTAAATTAAATCGAGGTGATCTTGGCATATTTTCGTAATAACTGTTTGTGGAGGTTTCGAACACGAGCGTTCGAGTGATAAAAGACGTCGGATCCTATCTAAAACTACCTATATGTTGTTTCAGGAAAATCTGAAAAGGGTAACCGCATCCTTGCTGATGTCATGAAGTGACTCTAAATGTCAGTCGAATGTCCCATGTCGTCACACTATAATGGAAATAGTAATCTACAAAGATTGATCGTGTCCAACACATGAAAAGACGAACAGATTCTTTCACGCAAAATTCCGGTCATCAGATTCATACAAAAACCTTATCGTAGCAAAACAACTCGTGCAGAATAATCATCGCACTTTCATACTTACTTCGATTAAAATATTCTTTAACGCCTTTGAAAGCGCGAAAGTATCATGTGGAATGAACATGCGTTTGCAAAAGTTAACAATAATTACGGATAATCTCACTTGCTACCTTTATTTGACTGCAGGGCATCATAACGCTTGAATGCTCTCTATGATGATCACACAGGAGATACTTAATTTGAAACAAGAGTTTTATATTTTGTTTCAAAGTGTTCTAAAACAACAACCACACGCCCATTGAGGATTTTTTTATCGCAGAGAAAATCGGAAAGCTGATATTTTACACTGTGCAATCTTGCATATAATTTAACCATACTTGTAAAATCATTTTTGTTCCTTTTTAACTACACCGCTAATTTAGAGTTTTGTTTAATTTACAACAATGGCTTTTGACAAACTTCTCAACTTTAAGTCTGATAAAGACCGTAAAAGTTTAAAATCTGTGTTAAAATTCTTAATTGACATAACCTATATCTGAAGCAAGGTCTCTGTGTAAAAGGTATGACTTTAATTTGTATTTATTGCTGGTTGTTTGTATAATTCAAGTGAATGTGTTGGTGTTTTAGCAACAAATGGATAAATAAGTATTTTGGTAGATGCATGGACTCGGCAATCAGTTTATTTCCATGCAGCTAGATTTGTAATGTTACGTTTTCTACTTACGTCCATTTTTTCGGTCATCACCATAATGGAAGTTATCTGAAACTAAAAGAGATTTACATTAGAAGGGAAAAGTTTTTTTATGACGTTGTTATAAAACAAATAATGGAGGGTCTAAAGTATAAAGATATAGTAATCTATATCGCATTATAAAAACCTTGCGGATCAGTTGGAAATATTCCGAGTCAACAGATAGCAGTACTTTGCAACTTTGACACAAAATCCATATAGGAAAACTCGTTTGAGTTGATTCTGACGTAAGAAACATATGATAAGTAGAGAGAGTTCTTTTGGGAATTTGCAAACAAAACTGATCGAAAATACGATATAAGACGGTAATGAAGAATTCAGTATTAGTTCATCATTTATCCATATAGGAGGAAAGTATTATACATCGTTCAACATATCGAACAGGTCAATCTGTCCTACATCAAAGTCAATACCGGGAAAATTCAAGAGAAACGGTCAGCTTTTTGTATCTCCTAATGGAACGATGAAATATGATATTTATTTTCGGAGTTTGTAAACACGAATCAAGCTGTTTTATATTATATATCAGCGATTTCGTATTTGAATTTAAAAAAGTCGTGAAATTTTGCAGAACCAATTTAATCAAATATTTGTTTCTAGTCTGATTGGCCGGCAGGCAGCAAACATTAGTATTTGATCAAAAATTGTTACTGAGATTATGGGAATTATACGAAAGCTGGTTAGGTAATTCGAAGTGTGTGAAACAAATATTTGCGAATGAAATTGGAAAATTTTTCGCTGTTTGGGTATTGGGCGCTAAAAGTAAATGATACTATTAATTTAATTTTTTCTCGAAAACTCGAGCGTATGCAAAAATCGTGAGTCATGCCCTTCTTGTTTGCATATTCTCGCCCAGGGTCATGAAAGAGTCGAAAACATAATACCGTAATAAAATTTATAAAATTAAAAGGTAATTTGGCCCCTCGTTATTAAATATAGAAGGAGTAAAAAGAAAGGGTGAGTTCATACTTTGTACGGAAATTGTAAAGAGCTTCGTAATGAAGTTGCGGATATTGCGACATCTGGTCTAAATGGACCGACACAGACATACACAATTACTGACGAGCGACGTTCGACCGCTGCTCCATTGCTACAATTTTTTCTATCAGCACATCGCTTTGCCGACTTACATGACTCAATAGGAAACAGCTTTGTACCTCAACTACATCGCTTTTCATCAAATACGTGACTGCATTTTTCAATAATCCGCAAGCTAAGGATTTTCAATTGAGAATATTGCTTGTTTGTAACACTTCTGGCATTCACAACTTCATTTTCAAGCATACGCCAACAACTCAAACCATGAATCGAAACTATCTGATGTCAACATCCAACTATGCAACTTTGTGACGCCTATGCATACCTATTTCGCACAAAATCACCGAACAAACGAGAATTTAAAAGGCATCTCAAAAATGATGAACATAAATTGAGTGTCCACAAACTATATTATTGTACTGTTCGTTCCTATTTTAGACACTTCGACAACATGTTGTTGCACAAATTGCTGATAACATTCAATCATGAATCGGTTATCATTCGATCGTTACGCAATACTTGCCCCAAAGCGATTTTGACCCACACTTCTTTTCAAAAATTCAAACCATGTTCTTTACCACACTACATACTTTTTACCGCACGAGGTCTATAATGCTCAAGACACCATTACCGCATCATCTCTAATGGGACTAAGTTTTACCACAAGTATTCCATTCATTAACAGTTTGCGTAATTGACATCATGAATGTGACGCGAAGTTTAACATCTAACACCTCCTACTGTTTAATAATCCAGAATAACAACTTTGTCAAAAAATTTCCAAAAACGACCACTAAAAACTAGCACTTTCGTATTCTGTGACCTGCGAATCGCTTAGAAAACACGAAATTATGCACGCGCCAAACTACCCTTATTACAATATTTCCTTTAGCTATCCCTCGGGAAATAAAATCAATATTTTCAGATTAAGCTGAACAAAGCGAGCTGTAACGTCGTCAAAGAATGTCTGATGAATGCTCGGACTATTTAATTTGGATTTGTCACATGGACCACGTGGCCTTAAATCTGATTCTCGTTTGACAAAACTGATTTGAAAGCCGTCGTTTCCAAAACAGGGGTAAAGATGTAAAAACGTTATCACTGCTACAGGGAAAACACGTGTGTCCTGTTCATCTCGTTATATGGTGAAGCATGATGTTTTTCTTCCCTAGCGTATGTTTTCTCGACTTTTCGTGACCCTTAGAGGACGAAAAAATAGGTCTCCCGTTTCCGTCTGTCTATCGTTCTGTCCGTCTGGCCGTCTGTCTGCAGTCCCGGATTTTTATTAGACAGATAATCTCCGAAAGTACTGAACCGATTGTTGCGAAATTTTGTATTCATATTAGAAATGTCATGTAGATGGTAAAACGGTAACCAAAATTTGTCTAATCATCCCCACCACTAATGCGATGACGTCACTTCAAAATTGTACATAGTAAATGGGTTTTAAATTGTATAGAATAACATAGTCCTACACATGTAGTTTATGACTCCGAATTGAGTTTTTACCCGAAACGTCCAGATTTTTGAAAAAAAAAATCAAAATAATGAAACAACATTTTGCAATTTAATTTAGAATTTGCAAAACCGAATGTTCTGCTAAATAAATCCTATCTTAAATGTGCAAAGTATGATGAGACAATCCTTGTGATTTATCATTCCATTCATATTTGCGTATACAGGGTGAGTGAAAAAAATTATCATTGTATTTCAGAAACGACGGAAGTTCTGTCGAAACAACTTTCGACGAATTTTTTCTCTGTGTTTAAAATAAGAACTGGAACACAACTTGAAAGAGTGATCACGTAGGAAATAACGTGAATGAGTAGGGATGTCATCGATATATCGCGTGACCATTTGTTTTTTACAAGAGAATGCGAGTCGTGTTACAATATGCTAATTGTTAGTTGATGGCGATAAACAGTCCCCTTGCGGTATTTTTGCACAACATTCCTGGTCACCCGAAATCTCAGACCCGGGGTAAATTGAAAAGAGGAATTCTCTCGTCACTGTCCATGTTAAACAGTGTAACAATTTAGCATTTTGTTTAGGGGTGGCAATCTGGGAATAAGATAGCATTTTTCACGTCGGCGCCCTCCTTATTTACATAAAAAATTAGGAAGTTTAAATTTTTGCCATGTAGAACATCCGCGCTAAGATCACGTGACAAAAATAAAACAAGTTTTAATGAGAAAAAATTTGGCGTTGCGTTACGTGGCCGCGTCGTGATAATTGGCGCAGCCAGTGGGATCGTTTTTAAAGTTGGAAGAATACGGAGAAAATTAAACCGATCTCGGTATTGATTGCTTTGAAAGAATCAGAGTCGTGTATGTTCTCCTTCAATTCTAATTTAGTAACCAAGTCATCAGGATTTCAAAAGATACTAAACTCAGCGGAGCGTTCACCCCTCAAGTGCTTGCAAAGACGTCCCGCTGTTAAGGACTGTGAATTCTTCCCGAGTGCTTATATCCTTGTACTGTTATAGCAGTTTTACATTATATATATTTCTTGATTTACAGTGACCAGGAATCCGGAAACGATCTTGAAATATTTTATGTACTACTTGGCAAAAATATTTAATTTTCTGGACCATAAGAGCCATGCATAAAAGCTTGAGAGCATTTGATACTTGACATCGGAAAAACGCTCACAAGCGGACGAAATTGCCAGAAGACCACGACATTCGAAGATTTATAATTGCGCTCTGGAAGTCTTCAAAAATATGAAACGAAGGAACTTCTATGTAAAACGGTTATTACTTAATGACTACGAAGTCAGAAAATTCGCATATTGCAGTACGGCATCTGTTGCGATACGACTTTAAAATTGCATTTCATTCTTCACGTGCCTGCTTCGCCATCACATCTCGTCAATAAATCTCGTACTTCATGTACATTTTATAGAGTTTTCGCCCGCTTCTACAGAAATAATTTGGTGATGATCTTGGTTGGTGAATTTTTTCTTGGAATTAAATCGAAATTCAAATACGATTCGTGAAAGTTCGGCAGGAAGCAAGTCATTGTTGTTTTTATAGAGAGGAAAGCTTCCTTGGCAATCTGTAACAGAGTTTTTATAGTTCGACCTTCCCGAAGCCAAATGGTTTTGTTGTAGGTTCAACGTTATGAGGGGCAGAGTGGGGAGAACTGTTCACTTCACGGTGGCGCGATTTCAGCTGCATTAAAGCCTGAAGAGTTGTAATACAAGCATGTCCATCGATTCTCTCTATTATCTTAGCTCCACCGCGAAAGAATGCAGAATAGTCGAGTTTATAATTACGTCTTAGCACCGACAAAATCGGCAGAATTTTTTCCCCAGGACCTAATTCACTCAAATTCAATTCTCCCGACTTCTCCAATGGGAAAAAATACACAAGCTACAACGGTAAATTGAAACTGTTATTTATATTCATTTTCACGCACAAAATGGGGCGTACGCTTTTTTGAATAAAACATACACATGTCTTATTTTGCGACGGTAAACTGCGAGAGTCATGATACGGGAAAATTAACTTTGTGTCGATACGATTACTTGTTACAAAATTTACAATCGATCATCATGTCAAGTCCCGCGTAAATCTGGGATGTGAAAATGAATCATAGTAAAATTGCTTCGTAAAGTCGAAAAGCTAGCCAATTTTAAAATTTATGTTTTCGATTCAAGTCATCAGTTTAAGGCAACACTACCATCGTCTTCCATAACTTAACTTTATACCAAGTTATTTTTCTTCGCCCGAATAATTGCTCCTACTTTGCAAAAATAACAGCGCAGCTTTGAGATAAAGTGCAGATCAATAAAACTGTTTTCATAAAGGCTATGCACTTGATGCAACTTCTGTTTCCATGTTGCCGGCACGACGAGAGTTTTCAATACAAAACAATACGAAGATGATTTGTATTTTCTTTAAAAACATAGGTTTGCATTTTGGCGCAGTCGCTAGGAACGTAATAACTATGATATTAATTAAGAACGTGCTATAC